CAGGCTCAGACTTTTAATTTACAGTCATTGCGCCAGTTTAAAGCTCTAGTGTTTAAGCTGTTAGCCAAGTTACCATAATGTGTAGTTGTCTTACTGATTTTAAAATGGCCATTGCGGATAATCGAGCCTTTGCTTGGATGATACGCTCATTCCCCGGTCTGAAGCAGTCCATCCGAGTTCCCACCCTCGCATCATGATGCCCAGCCCTGTGCCTTAAATAACCAACCACCCACCTCAGACACCCACCCCCTGAGAGGCTCTCGTCACTTACGTTAGAGAGGTTCCCCTTTTGCAGGCCACTGCGGACCTGACATTTTAAAGGTTAAAGGCGGAGATGCACCCCTGCGTCTGAGTATGGGCCGCCTGATACCCACGTTTGGAGTTCTTCTCTACATGGGAGGAGTGAATCCGTCTTCTTTGCATACCCGCTTAATCTCCCACTCTTCCCAAGTTTCTGATCTACTCTGATGTACTCTTCTGTTCAGTTATCGGTGAATTTATCTTTATATGGATTATTGGAGCCAGCAAAATTATCTAATGCAATCGTTAAATGCTAGGACATCATGCAACTAGCCTTTGAGCACCCCGTTTGAGCAGGCTTGGGCGCTCCTCTAAGTTAACTCAGGATATCCTTTACTGGCTGTTTGCCTGTAATGTTTGTGGGCTGCCATCTACCCAGACAAAGAGGTTGCTGCTCTCCGAGTTTAGCAGGTGACTTGTTCCGCTGCTGTCGACTCTTACCCCATATTTGCCTTATTATCATCTTCCACGTTAAAGCGCCCAATACTTGGCCCTTCTACTTGGTCATGGGGGCTTCCATTTATATCGATACGAAGAGCCTCCAGCCTGGTTTGATCTGGCTGCCTGCGCGGTCTTTCACGCGCCCGTCTACCACCTGGCTGCGGACTTCTAGCACCCCTCTTAGTTTGTAGGGGATCGCCAGAAGCTGCGCCTTTTCATGAGTCTAACGGTACCCCAATGCCTGAATTTAAAGGCTCCTCTAGCAGGGCTTGTGGAGCAACTGCACTTGGGCTCGGAGAAAAGGCTACCTGAAGCTTTCAAGGCACTCCCGTATGTCGGCCTCTGGCACCCCTCTGCCAGAAAACTGGGCAGCCTTCTACCAGAGCTATAAACTGTACTCTTCATGAAGCCTCGAGCGCCCTTTATTTAGGCTTGGAATGTCTCCGTCTGGGCATGGAACACTGCTTTGTGTAGGGAGGGGGGGGGGGGGGGGGGCTGAGCGTGGTCTTGGACGCTTACTGTCTGTCCTTAAGACGTCTTTTTTCCTGAGCTTGCGCTTGAGCTTTTCCATCCATCCGGTTTGGGAACACTGCCCTGTGACGGTTTTGTGACGTTCCTCTTGGCGTCCTGTAGCAGAGGCGCCTTAACCGGTCAGAAGGGCGCCAAACTTTGAAGGCACTGGGAGGAATCTGGGTGCGTGTGTGCCATTGAAAAGGGCAGCCGAAACGACACGTCACACAATCGTTTAAGCACATTTTTGAAATGTTCAACATGCCTAACAGCGCTCATGTTACAAATTATTCATTGCGTCCCGTATCTCTACGCGTGTAAATTATTTAACATATCATTTTTTAAGGTTTTGCGTGCTGATATATTGAAGGTCTGTTGAGTGAGAACTCACTCTTTAATCTAAGGTAATTTTGTGACCTTCACAGGTTTACCTCTGGACTACCTTGTGCTTAAAGCCTTTATTTGCAATGGCAATACGTCCATGCCGTCAAACATCTAAACAATACTTTGATCGGACTTACCAGATTTCATCTGGCATGGTCCTGACCTAGAATAACACTAACACTGCTATCGTCATTGACATATCGCAGTCTCTTAGCACGTGCCAGCGATTTTGGATGCTGATTGGCGCCAATATCAATATTTTATGAGATATCACCTTGAATGACCTCGGCGAAGGTCATCAATTGTGGGGATGCTCACCATACAAGCACGTCACTCCTTCAGAATCACTGGTTTGATGAAAAATAGTAAACACGGAACTCTAGAACGTCGCAGCGAGCCTATTTTTGCATTCCGGCGCCGTGCAGAGCTGAGATCAAACAAGATCAATGGTCTGTGACCGGAATGGTAGAAATTGAAATCATATTTCAGGTTAGACGGTTTGAAGCTGGGGTAGCCAAAATGTAAAATGAACCTCAAGGGCTTGTATATATATATATATATATATATATATATATATATATATATATATGTCTATATATATATGTATATGTATATAAATAAGTAAATATATATATATATATATATATATATATATATATATATATATATATATATATATATAGATGTATATCGAAAGGCCGCGCGGGGCGGCCGCATGGACTGTGTTAGCAAATGATACGCCTTGCGTGAGGTACTGCACGTCTGTCATTGTCATCCGTAGCCAGATCTGAACGCCTCTGTGGTCCAATTCGTATCGGCTGCATGCATTCTGAAGAAATGTCTGGATTCTAATTTGTGCAGCGGGTGCCCAGCAGACTAAGTCCGAATGTTGTGCTCCCATTTGGCTCTGGTGAACATTTAGCCATTCAGGTTTGGTCGCTTTAGCTTTACGTCATTCATTCATAAATGATTGTCTCACGCCGCGATGTCCGTTATCTGGTGGGTGACAGGTTTTGCCACACGCCACAACATGTGCAGGTGTACCAGAAGTCTCCGTCTCTAACAAGCGTGTTTTGCCCTACATCCATTATGGCTATTTCGAGAGACCAATACAATAGTTGACCTCAATTCAATATATTAGAATTGACACTTCCTACACTTTCTATGTCGTGATAAAGCTGCGAGATCGCGCTTGATTTAAACGCGCCAAGGCGCTCTAAATCTGTTTTCGTTATATTTCAGCACCGTCAGTAACTGACACCTAATTAAAGAAAGTGCGGGGTGGCCTAATTAATGACCCATCATTATGACCTATCATTGATTCAATCGCCCTGGTAGCATCTGCCTCCACCTCAGGAAGCGACGCCTCGCTGAGGACGTGTCCCGAACCCGGCCGCCTGTCTTAGGCCTTCCAGGTCAGGCTGACCGGGCAAGCGGCCGCACCAAGGGCTCATCAGCCATTCCACCCGACACGGGTCTATTCGGGCGGATTGATTGGGTTTGGGAATCGATGGCGGTGTGGCGCCGGCCGGCCGCCGAGGCGGGGTCGGTCTCGGCCGCTCGGCCAGTTACGTCCTCGTCACGGTCACGGCACTGGCGAGCTAGGAGACGCTGATGTCAGGATGGCGGCCCGCCGGCGGAGCGACGGGGACCCCCGAGCTCCCGAGCTCGGAGCCGGCGGAGCGGCGGGGACCCCCGAGCTCCCGAGCTCGGAGCCGGCGGAGCGGCGGGGACCCCCGAGCTCCCGAGCTCGGAGCCGGCGGAGCGATGGGGACCCCCGAGCTCCCGAGCTCGGAGCCGGCGGAGCGATGGGGACCCCCGAGCTCCCGAGCTCGGAGCCGGCGGAGCGATGGGGACCCCCGAGCTCCCGAGCTCGGAGCCGCGGGAGCGATGGGGACCCCCGAGCTCCCGAGCTCGGAGCCGGCGGAGCGATGGGGACCCTCGAGCTCCCGAGCTCGGAGCCGGCGGAGCGGGGGACCCCCGAGCTCCCGAGCTCGGAGCCGGCGGAGCGATGGGGACCCCCGAGCTCCCGAGCTCGGAGCCGGCGGAGCGATGGGGACCCCCGAGCTCACGAGCTCGGAGCGGCCGGCGGAGCGACGGGGACCCCGAGCTCCCGAGCCCGAAGCCGGCGGAACGGCGGGACCCCCTGAGCTCCCGAGCTCGGAGCCGGCGGAGCGACGGGGACCCCCGAGCTCCCGAGCCCGGGCCGGCGGAACGGCTGGAACCCATGAGCTCCCGAGCTCGGAGCCGGCGGAGCGGCGGGGACCCCCGAGCTCCCGAGCTCCGAGCCGGCGGAGCGGCGGGGACCCCCGAGCTCCCGAGCTCCGAGCCGACGGAGCGGCGCGGACCCCCGAGCTCCCGAGCTCCGAGCCGGCGGAGCGGCGGGGACTCCCGAGCTCCCGTGCTGGGAGCCGGTGGAGCGGCGCGGACCCCCGAGCTCCCGAGCTCCGAGCCAGCGGAGTGGCGGGGACCCCCCGCCTCTTGACGCGCCGTACTATTGCAGCCATTGTGGACCGAGGGGTGTTGGCCTTTGAGTCCTCCCTGGACGACGAAGGCGTCTCATAATGACTGCTTTGTGACTTTAATTTGTGTTGGATGATATGAAATGGAGTAGAGGTTGACACTGGAGTGGATTTATTGCGCAATAATTGGCCATATTTTCCATAAAATGGAGCTTGGAATAAGAATGGCTGAAATGATAGTGTGTTTGATGAATACGCGACCAATGATTTACATGAACATGTCAAGGATTATTCATTTACATCTTTCCAAGAAACATGAATCAAAGCTCTATTCGCACGCTGTTTTTTCGCCGTTCCGGCTTGCCCGGAACACGCCCCTGTCTCGCGCCCGTCCACATCCACCCCCCGTCCTGCGTTGAGACGCCGGTGTGCGTGGCGGACGCTGGGGACGGGGGTCAGGTCACCAGTCAGACCACCTGGCCGGGTCCGGTCGCGCTGACCCAAATGTGACATCGATCGGGCGGCGGCCAGTCCGGTTGTTGCATCTCTGGCTGCGGTGCGTCCCGTCGGCGCCGCCATCGATTCCGACAGCATCCACTGCGCATGCGCGCCTGCCGCCGCCGAGGCCGGCCCGGAGTCGATCGGCGCCAGCGCCGGCTGTCGCCGCGCCCGCACTGTCGCCGCCCAGTGTTGCTGCGCCCGCACTGTCGCCGGCCGGTGTCGCCGCGATCCCGCCGTCGCAGCACCCTGGCTGCCGCTTGTCAGCGTCGCCGCTCCGCCACTGTCGCCGGCTCGTGCCGTCTCTGGCCGGTGCGGCAGCAGCTCACTGTCACTTCTGAACGGTGTCGCAGCCGCCCGTTATCGCCGCACCGGCTATCTCGGCCGACACCGCAGCAGTGTCGGCGCCGTGGAGGGTCCATCCTCGGCGTGCTCAGCGCGGTGTCCTGAACCGGAGCGGCATCGCCGCCCGCGTAGAAGTGCTACCCTGCCGCGGTGAGGGCGCGAACGGTCCTGGTGGGTGCCTCCGAGGTGGCCTTGGCTGTGAATCTCGCGATTCCTGTGTCGGTGTCCACTGTCTGTGTCAGCCGCGATACCTCGACTGGTGCTGGCATCCCGCGAAGCTGACACACTGGTGAGGTACGAGACGAGCCGCTGGTGATGGTGCTAGTGCCTGAAGCTGGGACTGGGGTCTAGTGTCGAGGACCGTCGTGGCTGAGCGGGGCGGAACCATGGGAGAGAAGTATATGATATATAAGGAACGGCGGCAGCGGAAGCAGCTGGAGTCCGCCCATGAGAGGTCCACGAGGAGGTTCGTCAAAATTCTGCAGGTGAGTCGAGACATTATCCTGTGCAGGCTGTGAAGCCTGAGGTGGGGCATTATCCCGCACAGACTCTCGAAATTCCGGCAGGTGAGACGATGCATGAGACGAAACGTTGTCTCGTGCAGACCTTGCAATTCCGTATATGCGACGAGGCATGCCGTGCAGGAAGCCAGAACTATCCAGGTCAGATAAGGCGTAATCTCGTGCAGATCATCAATATTCTGCAGGTGAGCCGGATCGTTACTTTACGCAAGCCCCCAGGCTCGTTGCTGGTAAGATGGGGCACAGTGTTCAGGCGCGTGAGGAGAACAACTACGCATCACAATGCTCAGTCTGTTTCTGGAGACGCAGTCTTACTGTGATTGGTCAGATCGTGTTTCTGGGGGGTATTTCCGACGATGCTATCTTGCTGCAAGCAGCCAGGTCGATTGGTCGAATAGCAGTGCGGTTTTGCTGTCGGTATCTGGCAGCACACAGAGAGCGCACTGTGTGTCATCTACGTAGCATCATGAATTGTAGCTTCGTGACTGAAATTGCGTATTTGAAGTTATTTTCGACGGTATGTTGTGTTAACGAGTACTTGGGCCCATTGTCTGAGCTACACGCTTGCTGATGAGCAGTTAAATCCGGTGAAGTGTGAGATATCAGTTTTAACACCTCTCATTTGGTGGTGCCGTTCGCTCATGCCACCGCTCGTGATTAAGTCGTAAAGGGCGGATTAATTACACGTGGAGCGCGGCCGACGAGCCCACTAAACTGATTACCCCGCAGGCAGATCAGGTTTCAATTAGCCACAGCCGCCGCGTGACGACCTGCGGGTCAGGCCGTCACGCTCGTATGATCGGTCGTCTTCGGTCCAAAAGGATGCCGGAGGCGGCAGCGGCTCAGTGTCAGACCCGGCTGGCGCGCTGATAAACGGCGCCGGCTATCTTCTCGGCGTCGGCGACGTCCCCGAGGTCGGGCATTAGGTTCGTCGGCGCCGGCGCGACGCGGGCCCGCGCGCCGAGGGGCGCGGAGCGACGCCACGCGGGCCGGCGGCCAGGCCGGATGCGGCCCGCTTCCGGTGTGGCTCGCCGCCGCCGGACGCGCGCGGCCTTTGATTGGCGCCGCTGCGCCGCCGCTGAAAGGAGCGACCCGGTCGATGGGGTGCTGTGCGCGAGTGGAGTCTGCTCCAGCGAGAGGACGAGCCGGTCTTCGTCATCGTGACAATTATTTTATATTCTTCTCCCGTCAAGCTGGGGAACCAACAGTTAATGGACTGGTGCTTGGGGACAGACTGTTGTGAGACGTTTACCACTACCGGGCATTTGAAACGCTTCCGTGTGCCTAAAAGAGACTTCGACAGCCCCAATGTTTATGTAATAATGAAAATGAAGCCTTATAACGTGACCGGCAAAGAGTGAAATTCAGCGTACGCCGCCAATACAGGTCATTACCGATATGTGCGTTTACGCGGTATTCGTTCACAAAATGGATGAAACTAAAATTTCTTTTTACGATAAAAAAGTTCTTCAAAATTCATGCGTTGTGTACGTTATGCTGCGCGCGCTGCCATCACGTGGGTGCAGCAATGGTTTTTAAAAGGGACATTCCGGTGATGCACTTTAATGTTCGCTTCCATAGCCGTTGCCACTGTTTTGTTTGCTCACGGCAGCTTTTTGCGTTCTGAATCTGTCGAGTTTGAGCTAACAATGTTTTGCAGCGGAGCTTCGTTAGCCGTGCCGCTGTTTCCTCCTTTTCTCGTTCGTTTTTCTCTTCCCATCAAATATCTGGTACTACGGCGGCGTGTTTGTTTAATTGATTTCGGATAGAACGATATGAACTGTGTTTGACCATGGTCTGCTGATTACCCACCCATTGCCTGCCACAAGCACACAACAGCTCTGGTCACCTGCACCACCTGTACATCAGGTACAGCACCATCGTACATCGGGTACGGTTCCTGCGGTCCCTTCTCGTCACCGCAGGCCGCAGGGCATGCTTGACGATCGAACGACCGTAGCATGACCGGGCACGTCTCCTCCGCCAGATGTCGGACGACGACCGGATGTCGCTGACGACGGCCGTCAGTGACGAGGAGGAGGAGGGCGAGGCCTCACTGCACGCCTCTCCGTACCGGGTCACCAGGTCGGGCAGCTCCGCAGCCTCCTTCAACTGCACCGGCGCTGTGCGGAAGGCCGGGTGAGTCTGCTCTGTCACCGCCGTCGTCCGCACATCTGGCGACCTGGGCTGGGTCCGGGCACATCTGGCGAGCTGGGCTTGGTCCGGGTACATCTGGCGAGCTGGGCTGGGTCGAGGCACATCTGGCGAGCTGGGCTTGGTCCGGGTACATCTGGCGAGCTGGGCTGGGTCCAAGCACATCTTGCGAGCTGGGTTGGGTCCGGGCACATCTGGTGAGCTGGGCTGGGTCCAATCACATCTTGCGAGCTGGGTTGGGTCCGGGCACATCCGGAAAGCTGGACTGGGTCCGGGCACGTCTGACGAACTGGGCTCGGTACGGGCACATCTGTCGAGCTGGGGTAGGTCCGGGAAGCTGTGACCGGCCTCATTGCGTCTTCCAGCTGATATTTTGGCTGGTCTCCCGCTTTGCGCAATCACCGATTGTCTGTCCGCTCAATGCACCAATAACGTTCCGTTTACATAAGGCTGAGTGACAGTTATGCGTTGTTTGTAAAGCTGGCACGCCACCAGACATCGGTTAGCTGCCCGACATCTTGCTAGGCCACCCAGCGGGACGCTAGACCTCTGTTTATTTACTGTGATCGGGGATAGGAAGCAGAGAGAGGAGGCTTTATTTTCCGGAGACGGATGGCCTGGGGGCCAACAGGCCCCGCGGAACGGCAGGCCCCTCTGTCGATGCTGAGATTAACGGCCCCCAATGACCAAGCGGACCATGAAGAAGCGATAGCTCGCCACCAACGTCGCTGTAAAATTGTTGCCGTCTCTGGTGTCAGTTTCCGCAGAACGGAGAGACGAACTATGAGATAGCTTCAGCTGTGAAACTGTGAGAAAACAGTTGAGACGAATCGCTCGCTTCAGACGTTATTCGCTCCCCCGTTGAATGAAGTGAAATTAGTTTCAGAGACCTTTAATTTAACTTTGATACAACACCTACGTCAAATCTAGTGATTGGACGACAACGCTCGTCGTGGGTCAATTCCGTTTGACATGGTGTGATGTACTCAGTTAATTCTAAGTTAAAAGCCGTAGACTTCACACACTCCAGCCCTGATAGCCATGCAAGTGGTAACTGACTCTAGATCCTAGCCTTGTCAGCCTCGCAATGCACACGGGTCGGCTGGTTTCCTCCATAAATATATAATTCAGTCACGTAATATACTATTGCTCGTGAATACTATACGGACCGGACAGACACAGCTACCAGGCTGACTTTGCCTGCCGGTTAGAACCGATAGGACCCGTTAAGAATAGCCCGTTGCAAACTGCGTCACCTCTAGTCAAGCTGCAGTCATTGCTCAGATTACCACTCCTGTGCGTGCTGGTACAGTGAGCAGTTGTTTTACCACTATGATAAACTGTGCTCTTATCACATGCTATCCAGCCTGTCGATGGAAACAGGCACGTCTCTCTGTTGTCACGGCCAGCCCATTTTCCTCACCTGAAAGATGCATGAGACCAATGTCTGAGTAGTTCGCTCCCATGCCTCAAGCGTAGGCTCTTGGGACACTCAAGTTTGGGGTAAGGTCACCTCGCGTACATGAATGTTGGGTGCTAAGAACTGCTGAGAAATTAATGGCTAACCGCTCAGGCTCAAGCTCGCGCTACATCACTGAATAGCCTCTGGTTGCAGTGCAAGCTGCAATATAACATCATTGAGTTAAGCCACCACACGCATTGAAAAACAACGACTCCCTTGTCTGGGTCAATGACGTGAGTTACGCTCACCATACCGATGCTCCCGTCTCCGGCCTGAGCGCCCCCTCGCCTCCGGCAGTTTCCTCTCGGTGAAGAAATGGTTGCTGCGCAAGAAGCACCAGGTGGAGCTGGCGCGCAAGCGTGGCTGGAAGGGCTACTGGGTGTGCCTCAAGGGCACCACGCTGCTCTTCTACCCGTGCGAGTCGCGGGAGGGACGCAGTATCGAGCAGGCGCCCAAGCACCTAATCATCGTGGACGGCGCCATCATGCAGTCCATCCCGGAGCACCCCAAGCGGGAGTACATCTTCTGCCTGAGCACGGCCTTCGGAGACGCCTACCTCTTCCAGGTGGGTCACTGCCGGGCCTGGCAGGCGCGGCGCGTCCGCCGGGCCTGGCCGCCGTGCTGTTGACCCCGCGCCAACACGGCTGAGTTGGGGCCGTAAGCGGAGTGGTGAGCCAGTTATTGCCAGCCGTCACTGAGTGTTCGGAACACATTGCGAGGGCTGTAGGCAGAGTATGTCTTTACAACTGAGGCTGTACTCCGCTCTGGACTGACCTCAAACTGGCTGTATTGACCCGCACCTCGATCACGTCAAGGATGTGTTAACGGGAGCGGATGACCCGATGTTTGTTTTGCAATGTCACCATTTTCCAAAGGCTCTGGAGCAGGGAGTGGCAGGAAGGGACCCTTTTCCCCTACACTTTTAGGATGACAAGACGTGGCGGCGGTGCTCCCCCCCCCCCGCCGCCATCTTTCTTGGAGGCAATCTTTAAGTTTTCAGATACAAAATCGACCTTTTTCGTCATAAAGAGCGTAACAAATGGAAGTCTGCTGCGATTTTTGTTTATAAAATTGAGGACAACTTCCCGGTTTTTTTTGTTTCCTCATTTTTGCACTCATGTGTCACTTTTTGGGTGACAAGGAAACAAGATTCAAGGTTGGTGGGAGGTAACTGCTTCGCGGGTCCTCGTCAAACCTGCTACCTGCTATTTGTCATGTAATAGGTCTTGGCAGTTGAGCTTATGTGCTCGTCGTGGTTAGAAGATCAGTATCTCGCGAAAATCAAGGGAGGCTTTTTAAATGATATGACATTACACGCTACAGCTACGGCTCCGTTAATCGGTAACAGGAGTGGGACCAGACACGATCAGAAAGTCACGTTACATTTGCATGGGAATTTTCCGGCCAATAAAAAGTACGCTGCGGTGCGATTAGAGATCTGAATATGAATCTGACTCTGTTACCAACTCGATACAGGAGCTCGTCATGGTGATTTGCCGGGAAATTCGTGCTTCTCAAAGCAGGTCTGGATTTCGATGATTAAATTTCCAGACCGTTAACGTCGTTAGTTTTGTGTGCGGCAGCTGTCTTACTGGGTGCTAAACTGGACGGCTGGATATGGTACGGAGGTACATGAAAAGCGCTCATTTTTGTCGTAGACCAGTGGATCCTACCATTGTGAAAAGCGTTTCGGAGGATATGTGGCAAAATGAATTAGAGCCGCTCGAAAAATCCAATAAAATCCAGGCATGGCAACTGATCCAAATCAGCGGCTATTTAATTATCGCGGTGTCGCGAAACCCCGGCAAAATCGCATGTAGGGTCACTGGGATTGCCGCAGTGAATGCTTCAAAGTAGAGGTGATGACTATAACACGCGTTCTTAATCTTGACCGCTCAAACAACATCGAATGACGTGAATATCGCTGTGTCGTTGGTGGTAGTTGAAAGCGGTAAAGGCAGTTATATCTTTAGACTCGATGGCATATGTTGTCCGGGGGCTAAAACATTGGGAACGCTCCGTGCAATGCACTCCAATTACTTGGTTGTGTGCTGTATGAATGATCACGATCACTGGCCGTTGAAGAACCGATGGGATCATCGCCCTCGTCCGGCGTTTTAGTATGTATACAACAATGTAGTCAGTTTATTACGCGGCCGTCTTCAGGCGGTGCAGGGAGAACTAGATCGCGCTCGGGTTTCAGGCATTACGCGTCATAGCCCGATTTTTCTCCTGAGGCCTGCTGGGATTCGAACCAGCGTCTTCTGATTACGAGTTTAGCTTTCTGAGATTAAGCTGACTGAGCAGGGCTTTGTGCCACATTGTGTACGTACTGATACACCAGACGAACACAGCAGTCCGAACAATCGTTCCGTCGGTGACACTAATACCTCGCCTCAATCATTCTGAAAACAGCAGTAAGCAAGCATTGAGTTGCGTATTTTGACAACAATGAAGGAGTATGAAGTTCGCAAAAATTCAAACCGCGTTAAGAATGTGGCTTTAGCCATGCACATGTGATATGGGTGTCAAAGGTACGGAGGTAGACTGAACACACCGCGCTGCGGTGCGTACAATGATGTCAGATTTCTGTGCATACAACTTTACGTGAATATATGACTGCTGTTGTCTGTGTCAAAGCCGCCAATAATGGAGTTCATGGAGCTCTTTGTGAAAATTATCGAATTTTCGTACCTGCTCAGTTAGACTCGGACCCAAACAATGTCGGGTGGCACCCGCAGTTTTGTTGTGGCGTAGCAATATTTTTGATTTTATGAAGGGCTTTTACTTGCAGAGACATCTGTACGCTGTGTGAAAGGCTGTCCCTGAAAAGTCGCGTTCTGAAAAACGCGTTTTTTAATCATGGACGTGGTTTGAAGAAAAGCATGCTGTCTTTTCCATAATAATTCGCATCTATTTCGCATCGCATCTATTATTCGCATCTAATTCGTATATGCCAGAGTAGTTTATTCTCAGATGTCCGTTCGTGCGGGAGTTGAGGCTTGATCAAAACGGGGATCACAACCGAGGTAAAACACATTTTGCATTGACAAATGTGCAAAAGGCTCGGTTGGAGTGTGCACACTGTTTCAGTCTTAAAAGAGACAATATGCCAACAAGCAGTCATTTTTCGTTGGGTGCACACATTCAGAGTTCATGAAACGGTACGCACTCTGAGCACTTCAGCGCCTCACGCAAGCGGCGAAAATCCGGTGCAGTTATGCTATCTGGTATTGATAGATTGCGTGTACTTGTAATATTCCTTTCCTAACCAGCAACACAACAGGCATGTAGGCTGACTCCAATACGCCATTCAAGTTTAGTGTTGAATCATGAACCTACGCTTGCAAACTCGCATCTTGTTTGCTTCCTCGGCAACCACTATTAATGCTGGTCGCTGCTGATGCTGATGCCATCGTTGTTGCTGGTCGGTGCTGATGCTGATACCGCTGTTGTCGCCGGTTGCTGCTGATGCTGATGCTGCCGTTGTCGCTGGTTGCTGCTGATGCTGATGCTGCCGTTGCCGCTGGTCGCTGCTGATGCTGATGCCACCGTTGTCGCTGGTCGCTGCTGATGCTGATACCGTTCAAGCGAAGTTGACTTGAGACCCGCCCGCGTTGGCTGCGTTGATTTTACGCCCTTTGCGTCGGCCCGGGCCACGAAGTCATCAAAACTTTGATCCTGAAGTTGTGCCTCGCGTGCCCTGGGACCCAGCCCTGCGGCACGAAGGCCGAGACCACCGATGCGCTGCCGAGGAGCCGCTCTTAAGGCATCCGTTCGCCATCGCTATGCAACAAGCGGACATATTTTTGCGTAAGGGTGTTTGGTTTTGTGTGGCATTTCTCAGAAATGGAAGTGCAGTGTCTCGTGCACAGTTAAGTTTTCATGCGTGTGTGAACACTGGTCCGATCCTCTCACATCCATTCGCTCCGGTCCCTCCCACACCGCTTACCTGTTGAGACTTACGTCTGCACGCAACAAAACACATGTGAGTTGGCGGGCTTCTCCATGTGTTTGAACTATCAATACCGCTGAATGTCGCCAAAAGAATGCCGTGCCAATTAGGAACAGCTATGAATGCTTTACAACATTTTCCGCTATGAAATGCCGACTAGCTGCTTCAGTGGAGCATTGTCAAACGGTCTGCTGAATGCTGAGGAGCCTAAATCCCGCAGCTCTACTGCGTGCAAAGCAGATACACGTTTGAAATCGTCAGCGAAGTTGATGAAAAGTTGCCTTCGGTGGACTGCTGTCTTGAAATGAATTCCTCGACCTGACCTTTTCTCCTCATCTTTATTCCTTCTCGTATTCAAAAGCAAACCCCCCGGCTCCTTTGTATTTGCCACGTCGGTGATATTGACTACCCTTGGAAAAAGCGTCGGCTAGCCATTCACTCAAGCGCTATATTTATCCGAATCCGGGCCCGAAGGCGCCGCATTGAGAGCCCACTCCGACGGGACCCCTGCCTTCTGCACCGCTCTCTCCCTCTCCGCGGCTCTCTCTCTCTCTCCCCTGCCGCTCTTAGCTCGCCCTCCGCCGCGGGCAGCGGTGCGGGGCGAGTCGGCGGCAGGACAGAAACTGGAACACTGCCCGGTCATTTAATCAGCGTCTGATGTCACGGCCCGCTTGCCGCGCATGCTAATGGCGCCGGGTGGCCTCAGCGCGCGCGCCCGAAGCCGAGACCGCCTCCGGGCGGGGCCCGAGCCAAGCTGTGGGGCTCGACCCAGAGTCCCGCTTCGTCATGGTGGTGCGCGAGTGTGCTGGTGCAACGTTTTATCCAACTTATGTACAATTTGAGTGGTGGTCCTGCTGATTGTTCGGGAAGAGAGACCGGTGACAGGCTCAGCTGATCTCTCAGCTTCACGCCAACGCGGATGACGTCACAAAGCATGACTGCCATTTCCTTAACGATGATGAAACCCGCCGGTAAGCCTTCAGTGGGCCTAGAGCATTCACACCCGTCTATTGCACATTGTATCATTTCTGCATCGCTTCTCCCCTGTGGCTGGGCTTCGTCATTAATCCTTGTTTCCGTACCCACAAGGATTTAGCAGCTCATACGTTATCCCTGCCCCAGTCGCCTGCCGTCGCCGTCCGTAATCTCGGCGGCCTCGCCTTTCACCCGCGCTGCCTCCTCCCCCGGCGGCTCTCGGTCTCGGTCGTCACGTCCCTCCCCGGTCATCAAACGCCCGGGGGAGGGGCAAGATGGGGGGGGGGGGGAGGCTTGGTCGGCGACCGTCACCGAGGCCGGTGCCAAGGCAGTGGCGGCCCGTCTGCCGGTCGAAGCTCCTCTCCGCTCTCGCCCACCGCAGTCGGAGCGAGCTTCGGCCGCCGCGGCGGAAGATGAGGCTCTGCGCGGACCGGCCGCCGACCCCAGGCGACGGTCCGTCGCGTGCGTCGCCGGCCGGCTCCAGACGACGGTCCGTCGCGTGCGTCGCCGGCCGGCTCCAGACGACTCCCCGTCACAACGTCAGGGCTGTCTGGCAGGCTGTCGGCCAGCGGCGGACGGCGAGCTGATGACCCGTGAACTCGGAATTGATACCCGCAGGCGCCGTGTCAAGTCGAGCTGGAAAACTGGATCAACAGCATCCACAGCGCGTGCGCGGCGGCGTTCGCGCGGCACCGCGGCAAGACAGGCACCCTGCACTTGCTTCAGGAGGACATCTTCCGGCTGGAACGGTCCATCGAGTCGGTGAGCACTCGTCGTGGCACTCACGGCACTCATGTCACTCACAGCTCGACGCGCTGGCATTGCACAAACAACGGGAGGAGACTCTCGGTGGCCGCTGAGTACCGGATCGGCGGTGTGGAAAGTGGCGTTATTTGTTGTCCTGGGGAGACGTTGCGCAGCCTCACCTCGTGCGCGTGCGCTCGCAGGACTCGAAGCTGAAGCACATGGCAGACCTGCAGCTGAGCGTGGTCTCGGAGCAGGAGAACAAGCAGGAGATCACCTCGCAGCTGGCCAGCTACGACGACAGCTTGGAACGGCTGCACTGCGAGCAGTTCCGACTGCGCTGCTACATGGCCTCGCTGCAGGGCGGCGAGCTGCCCAACCCCAAGGTGGGTCTGGGTCTGACTCCCGGCAGGCGGCGACGACCCGATGGTGATGCGCCGCCCGCCCTGGCCGCTCGTGCCGCGTAATGGGACACGTCGTCTCGGCGCGGCGCGGCCGTTCCAGGCGGGCAGCGACTGTCTCGGCTCGGAGAGGGACGTATGTCTACGCCATGTGATGGATCGTAACTTCATAACGCGTGACTTACAGCGACGACTAAGCGCTGCAAATAAGGAACCGTCCTGCCCAGCGGGATGGCCTCGTCACAACGAGGTGCTGCGGGCTTTTAAACTGCAATTTGCCACGTCAAAGGAAGCGTTATAATTTAGTTAGATTAAGTGTTCGATTAGAGTCCTGATGCAGTGTACTTTGTAGCAGTTAGAATATTACCGCGCATACCGTGGCTGAACAGTCTATCACGCTCCCATTTCGTTCCTGTGCCGACACATGCTGCGCTAGCATACTATTTGCATCTTTCTAATAAGCGGCGTTGCAGTAATCCATAGACTCACCCATTTGCGAAACCGACCTTATTGACATCATCTTAAAGCCCATATCCCACCCGTCAGAGTCGAACGCCTTTCCCCAGGTGCTATCCCGGTCCACACGCCGATCTCGCATCTTTCAGCGGACGCAAGCGGTCGTCGTTACTGTTGACGTTGGGTCGCGCTGGTCCGTGCCGCTGGGTCGCGTTGGTCCGTGTCGCTGGGTCGCGCTGGTCCGTGTCGGTGGGTCCCACTGGTCCGTGTCGCTGGGTCGCGCTGGTCCGTGTCGCTGGGTCGCGCCGCTCCGTGTCGCTGGGTCGCGCTGGTCCGTTACGCTGGGTCGCGCTGGTCACCGTCACTAAGTCGCGCTGGTCCGTGTCGCTGGGTCGCGCTGGTCCGTGTCGCTGGGTCCCGCTGGTCCGTGTCGCTGGGTCGCGTCGGTCCGTGCCGCTGGGCCGCGCTGGTCCGCGTCGCTAAGTCGCGCTGGTCCGTGCCGCTGGGTCGCGTTAGTCCGTGTCGCTGAGTCTCGCTGGTCCGTGCCTCTGGGTCGCGCTGGTCCGTGTCGCTGGGTCGCGCTGGTCCGTGTCGCTGGGTCGCGCTATTCCGTGTCACTGGGCCCGGCTGGAGTCGTCCGAGTGGGCGCCGTGCTGACCTGGCGCCGCGCCAGCCGAATGGATGGCCGGGCGCCCCGGCGGGCAATAGCCGGCCAAGTGAACTATTGACCTAATGAACGGCGCAGCTTGTAGCATATTGCGGTGCTGCGAGGCGACACGCCGCAGCTGTGATGCTGCATGTTGCAGCCGACCGGGGCCGTGAAGCGAATATCTGGAGAGGGGGGGGGGGGGGGGGGCTCGCGCTGTGCGGCTGAGCCACGCGAATATGTGAATGTCAGCGGACCGACTGGACAGATCCCGTCAGACCCGCCCCTCCCCCGCCCTTCCCTCAGCACTGCTAGCTGATGGTCTGTAGTGGAAGATTCTAGTACGGCGCAGGATTTGAGGTACGGGGTACAGGGCGCTGTATTACCGCCGTGGGAGACATAGGCACTGCGGTACCGAACAGTGTCATTTTCGTCGAACATCGTGTGATGGGGGAACCATTACGTGCAAGTCGCGCCGGGAGGACGATGTCGCAAACTCATGTGTCGGCAGCTAGAAATTGTATTCCGGTGTGATACGACCACTCACGGCCAACACGGCCGCTGCCATCGCTGGCGCTGCATAAAAGCACTCACCAAGATGCCCTCCGCATTCCCCCAACACACACACACACAAGCGAGAAAAGCTGCTATGCCTGCGGCGCCAGGACCTGTCACCACTGCATGTCCTTCTCTTCGTCGCCAGGGTCTGCTGACTCACGTCTCTCGCACCACCAAAATGACGCTGAATCGGCTCGGCGTCTTCAACGTGTCGTCGTTCCACGCCTACATCTGCGCGCGCAGCCCGAGCCTGCTGAACAACCTGCTGGCCGGCCGCGGCGCCACCAAGCGGCGCGCGCCGATGCTGTCGCGCAGCGGCAGCGGGGGCGGCAGCCGCACCTTCAACCAGGACGGCACCGAGGAGCCACAGCGCACGTACCGTGTCCGGGTGCCCGACAATCAGGTCAGTAGGGGGCCAGGGGCTGTGCACGCGTGTACGGGCCAGGGCGGGCACTCATCCTGGCTGTGCAGGCAGTTCAGAAGCGGGGAGTTCCGCTGTGCAGGTGACGGATCAGGAGCGGGGAGGTGCGCTGTCCTGGTGTGGGAGGCCAGGAGAGGAGAGGTGCACCGTCCAGTTGTGGGGTTAGGAGCAGGGAGGTACGTTGCTCTGGTGTGGGGTCGGCAGCAGGGAGGTGCGCTGCCCAGGTGTGGGTTCAGGAGCGGAGAGGTACGCTGCTCTGGTGTGGGGTCAGGAACGGGGAGGTGTGGGATCAGGAGCGGAGAGGTACGCTGCTCTGGTGTCGGGTCATGAACGGGGACGTGCACCAGGCTTGGGGTCAGGAGCGGAGAGGTGCGCTGTCCAGGTATGGGGTCAGGAGCAGGGAGGTGCGCTGTCCAGGCGTGGGATCAGGAGCGGGGAGGTGCGCCGTCCTAGTGTGGCGTCAGGAGCAGGGAGGTGCGCTGTCCGGGTGTGGGATCAGGAGCGGAAAGGTGCGCTGCTCTGGTGTCGGGTCAGGAGCGGAAAGGTGCTCTGCTCTGGTGTCGGGTCAGGGGCGGGGAGGTGCGCCGTCCTGGTGTCGGGTCAGGAGCGGAGGGGGGGGGGGGGGGGGGGCGGGGGGGGGGGGGTACCGTACCAGATCAGAAGAATGCTTGGCATCAGTCCATCGTGCAGCTATGACGTGATCCATGACAGTTGACCGCACTGTGCCGCTGTTTGGTAAAAGTTATTGCTTATTGTTAAAGCAAGCAGCGACAATAGGGAAGTTAGCATGCGGAGTACAGCTTGTGCGAGACCACACTACAGGTGGTGTATGCCCTACATGTACTTTGTGAGCACACTTTACATCTGACTCCAAAGGTAATGCAGTTGTGTTTGCTATTTCAGTTCGTTACTATTCATCTGCGGGACAATATGACGGTTGAAGATTTCCTGATCTCAGCCTCTCTGAAGAAGAACTTGAACCCGATGGAGCAGTTTGTGAGGGTGAAAAAACGACGCGACATGGAAAATACCAACTACTTTGTGCCACATC